TTTTTTTGTCATTGGTCTTTATCAGTCTGTGTATCTCCAGCATTCAGCATCATGCTTGGAACATAAGCAAATATATTGTTATGGGGAAAATGGGGCCTGTTTCTTCTGCAAATGAAATCACCAAGTGATGATTACTTATAGAATGCTTCAGTAAAAAAGAAAACCATTACCTAGAGAAACTATTTTTTTGTTTTGTTTTGTTTGTTTCTGTTTGCCCAGTGGCATCTGGCCTAAACATTCATCAGCAGTTCCCATCATGCTTTGAAAGATCACTTTAGTTTACAGAAAAATAACATTTGAATAGCCTGTTATTACCCCAGCCAATCTGCTTGATAATCTATTATTCAATTCAAAAAGCATTTAGTGTGTGAGAAGTATATGTTGAATACTATGTTATGGAGTCTAAATAAATTTTCTTTTAGTATTGCCTCTTCCTACTATACTGAGGTTATTCTGGAAATCTTGTTTAAGACTGGCCTGAGGCAACATTCAGATGGTGGTCCTTTACTGCAATATCTCAATATCTCACAAAAAGCAGTTATAGCCATGAGCTTTTGAGTTATTCCCCTATAAATAATATCAGAAACATAGTCTTTAAGATTGACTGTTTCAGTGGATTTGATTTTTAAGCTTTGGGAAAAAATATAGAAGAAGAAAAGTGAGTATAAATACTTGTGAGAAAAGAAACAAGTTGATTATTCAAATACATATTTTGCTATAAATGCAATTAATTACAGTTCTAATATTTAGTTGATGATTCATCCTTCTTCTGAAAGCTTAAAATGTTTTCTCCTGACTATGAGATCACTATGAATTGAAAACTTAAACTGTTATGAGCATAAGTGTTTTCTTTTCCCCATTGAATTCTTACCACAGGAAATGTAATTCTTTTTAACTGAGGCATTACTTAGTAATTAAAGAAAAGTGGATTCCTAATGCTAATTTCTATAGTAAAAAGTAAATATATGAGCACATTAAGTTGAAAATTGTAGTGATAATGAAAGGCATATTAACATACCTCACATAAAGTAACAGTTTTCTTTCTTTCTAAAATATAATACTGAAAAGGAGTCATATTTTTCATTTTATTTTTTCATACAATATTCATCCCATGAGGAAACTAAATACACAGACTGTTTGCTTTATCTTATTTTTTTTTTAATTTTTGTGAGTTTTGATTTCTTTTATCAGAGCTTTGAAGACTTCCACATAAATATTTTGTACGTTTTGTTAGATTTATGCCTATTTCAATTTTTGTGAGAATGTGAGTATACTGTATTTTGAATATCAAATTCAACTTATTTGTTGATGACATATAGGAAAGCAATTGACTTTTAAATATATACTTTGTATCCTGCAATTTTGCTTTAAATTCTTATTAGTTCCAGGGTTTTAGTTGTTGTTGTTGTTATTTATCCTTTGGGATCTTCTACATAGACATTTATGTCATCTATGAACAAAGATAGTTTTATTTCTTCTTTCCCAGTCTGTATAGATTTTATTTCCTTTTCTTGTCTAATAGCATTAGCTAGGACATCCAGTACGATATTAAAAACTTGTTGAGGGTGAATATCTTTGCATTGTTTCTGATCTTCATTAGAAAGCTTCAAGTTTCTTACAATTAAATATGATGTCAGCTATATGGTTTTTTGTAGATGTTGTTAACAAATTGAGGAAGTGGCAAGCAACACTGCCAAAGCTCTCCTCTACTCCTAGTTTGATGAGAACTTTTATTATGCATGTGTTTAGATTTTGTCAAATCCTTTTTCTGCATATATTGATATAATCATATGATTTTTCTTCAGTATCCTATTGATGTGATGAACTTCATCAACTGATTTTTGAATTCTGAATCAGAAATGCATAACTGGAAAGAAACCTACTTGACAGTGATGTTAATTCTTTTTATACATTTTTGGACTCAATTTGCTAATATCTTGCTAAAGGTATTTGCATCTATGTTCATGGAAAATATTGGTCTGTAGTTTTTCTTTCTTGTGATATCTTTGGTTGTGGTATTATCGTAATGTTTTCCCCATAGAATGAATTAGGGAGTATTCCTTCTGTTTCTATATTCTGGAAGAAATCATAGAGAATTGGTATTATTTCTTCCTTAAATATTTGCTAAAATTGTCTTCAGACAGTAAACATACAATTTTACTAGGCTATAGCTTCTTCCGCTCCCTATGAAATGTAATTTTAAGTGCCATATCATCCTGTGGTTGCATTTACATTATAAAATGTTTTATCTACAGTAATTGCTATTATATATAGTCTTGGCAGGGCCATTTCTTGCCCAGGTATAATACTTGTGATAACAATTTATCTGTGAAATTTGAAAAAAAAAGAAAAGATACACTTTTACAATTAGGGCATTAAAATCTTAATTTTCCTACTGGCATTTCCTTTAATGAAAAATAAATGGGTTAACTTAAATTGAACAGCTCTGTAAAGCTTCTTAGATATTTTTTTTTAATTTGGTAAATCACATTTCCACTGTAGGGAATTCGATGAACTAGTTTGCTCCACACTATGTACACTTCACTAATTCTTATGATGTGTTTTGTTACTAAACCTGTCATGAATATATTACTATTTTTCTTGTACTTCATCCACGTTTTTCCCCTGAAGTCATTTGTAAACAAAGGGCTGCCACAAACATATTCTAATGTCCTCATTCTATCATTATTTCACTGTATTCATACAGCAATGCCACTTCCATAGTCTCTGCTCTATCTGAACTATAATAAATATTTTGAAATTTGCACATTTTCAGTTGTCTCTGCTCATGTCTTAGGAGATAATGAATATCTTTCAAACATTTTACATCTATTAGAAATTCTTCCCAGTAAGAGATTAGTACCCATATATTCTTTTGGGCTTTCAACATCATAATTAGTTCTTAAAATTAAATAATAATAACAACAATAACAATAATACAGCATTAATACTATCAAGAATTACAATAATAGCTATTGAATATTAATATATTTTGGAACTGGGTTAGGCCCTTTTACGCAGCCTGTTTTATCTAATTAAATCGTTAAATCAATGTTACAGATATTATCACCCACTTTTTAGAGATGGTGAAATTTAAGTTTGTCTTTATTAAGTATCTTGGTCAGGAGTCATAAAGCAGGTAAATGGTGCAATTGTTTTTTTATTTAGAGATTCTAATTTTAGGACAAACTTCTAATCACCATACTACACAAACGTCCATATTTCTGGACACCTCATTCACAAGTATTTTCTAAGATGTTTTATTACTACATATTCATTTGTCTAGCAGAAATCAGGAGGCAATTGTTCATTTACTTTCAATATTTTTCTAAAGGGTTATGGAATCTTCAATAGCTATTCTACAATCTGAAGTGAGCCAAAAAGGTCCTTCATGAGCAGAGAAATCTACTTTGTCTGATAGCATACATCAAAGTTACATCACCACACCACTAACACTGCCATCACCATCACCACCATCACTGCTGCCAGCACCATTGCTGCCATCATCACCATCACCACACTCTGCTAGTCTGAAAGTTATTTGAAAATGAGGCTCATGGATACTTTATTATCTACACTCTTTGACAAGAAACTCTGAGTATCTAAATTGATGGTTCACAGAGCTATGCTCTTTAATTAAAATCGTTGCATACTTGTTTTGTTAAGAAGCAAAAGAAAATAGTGCCTTAAGTAGAAAAAAAAGTATCCTCAAATTTCAAAGGAGAGTTTGATTTTTGTCTTCATTACCACTTGAGCCTGAGAAATATTTTAGAAAATTATATTCATTTTTCCTTTGGAGCTTAGGAGAAGCAAGACATGGAGGAAAAATTCTAGAAGAGACAGAGGAATACTTTATTATAATGGCTAAACATAACAGGAATGCATCAATTTGGAAAGAAAAATTGTCCTAATTTCATTAAGACAATTCTATTTAAATGGATAAGTTGATATAGGTAACAATTTATTGCCTCAAAGTTAGCATGCACATTTTGAACAAGTGTTATTTTCATAATTAAACATTGCATCTTCATTTTATACTTTTAATTCATGATTCCCTTATATAGTAAATGGATATAAATAGATAAATGGTATAATCCAACAATTTGTAATTGTATTGCATCTCCATTCCTATCCTCCTATGCTCTTTCCAGTGTCTCATCTTTGCTTATTGGTTTCAGGTTGCTGGTCCTGGAATAAACATTGCTGCTTAGGTCACAGGTGGCCATGTGTGACAGAGCTCTGCAGAAAACCTTTCGCCACTGACAGAGGTGTGGAACTTTGGTGACACTAGTGGAGTATAACAACATCTGGTAAAGGTCTGTTGTCAAAGAGAATACTGGCAACAAAGGTCATGGTGTAGCAATGAGATGAAGAGAAAGAATTGGAATTGTTATATTTTTTAAATTGTAGTTGATTTACAATGTTGTGTTAATTTCTGCTTTACAGCAAAACAATTCACTTATACATCTATATACATTCTTTATAAAATTCTTTTCCATTATGGTTTATTACAGGATATTGAATATAGTTCCCTGTGCTATCCAGTAGGACACTGTTGTTTATCCATTCTATATATAATAGTTTACATCTGCTAATCCCAAACTCCCATCCATCCCTTCCCCTCCCACCTCCCCTTTGGCAACCACAAATCTGTTCTCTATGTCTGTGAGTCTCTTTCTGTTTCATAGTTAGGTTCATTTGTATCATATTTTAGATTTCACATATAAATGTTATCATATGGTATTTGTCTTTCTCTTGCTGACTTACTTCACTTAGTACGATAATTTCTAGGTCCATACATGTTATTGCAAATGGCATTATTTCATTTTTTCTTATGGCTGAGTAGTATTCCATTGTATATATGTGCCACACCTTCTTTGTCCACTCATCTGTAGATGGCATTTAAGTTGTTTCCATGTCTTGTCTACTGTGAATAGTGCTGCTATGAACATAGGGGTGCATGTATCTTTTTGAATTTAGTTTTGTCTGGATATATGCCCCCAAATATGGAACGCTTCATGAATTTGCATGTCATCCTTGCACAGGGGCCATGCTAATCTTTTCTGTATTGTTCCAATTTTAGTATATGTGTGCTGCTGAAGAGAGCATGAGAGTTGGAATTATCAGAGTACCTTTTCCGTAGACTCCAGAATAAGCGCACCAAGGTTAAATAGAAAACAGGTGGGAACTAACAGTTTATAATTAATCATTGATATGAATATCAGTGATATCTGGGTCACTCTTGGTGATATTCTATAATAAAACAATTACAATAATTAATTTGGAAAATATTATATGCAAGGTGATTATAGTAGATAATAGATATTCATTAAACAGTAGGTCTCCCACTTTCCCATTTTTTACTGAAAAATAATAGCTACAATAACATCATCAACTACAAAATTACAAAATACCATGTTTGTCACTAGAAGTTTATTCATAGAAACATGTGAAGTAGTCAAAGAAATAAGGCAGAGTCACAGATCTGAAAGTCTTTACAGTTGGGAATGCAAAATGACTATATGCCACAGATGACTTTATTGAAAAGAATTTGTATTGTTACATGACCTTTACCCAGAGGTCTTTAGATTCTTAAATTGCCAGCAGAGTCAATAATTAAATCAAAACTTTATTTAAAAAATTATATCGTCACTTACTTTTAAAAGCTCCTATGTCAAACTATTTACAGGAAGTCATGTTGTTAAGATAATGCTTCATTTCAAAAAATGTTGGAGCCCATGGGGCTTAACATGACATGTTCAAGAGTGTATAATTTTCATCACCCACGCACTACAATGTGCAACATTATTTCCCTTTGAGAAGAATTAATGAAAACATACCTTGACATTATGATTATGGTCATCTGTCTTTGCTTATATTCATCTCAGCTTAATGCAGAAAATGTCAAAGAAAGAATGTAGGGTGAATATTGTGTATCTTTCAGTTTTACTCTCATTGCTCAGCACAAAGGGATGAAAAAGGCATTGTGCTTTTTCTCTGGTAAGAATTTAGCTAATGGATGCATAAAGCAAACAAAGCTGGAAGGAAATGTTTTACTGCTGCATTCTGGACCACATGGATTTTTGTTGCTTTTGTTTTTATTATATTGGATATTGTTGTTGGTTAAAAGATGCTTAATTTGAAATGTCTGGAACCACAACAAAATGTGGATTTTTACCAACACAAAACTTTACCTTAAAACATACAACAACTTTGCTTATTCTCTTGCCAAGAAAAAGAAGTCACTCATGGTTGGATATCTCTGGAGAAATCCAGAGAACTGAATATAAGGAGAAAAATATTTTTTGCTCAAAATATTGCATTGTTTTTTCCATTTAGAATAATAACAGAAAGAAAAAAGGAAAATATTTTGATGATAAACATGACCACATAATACTATCTAATTTTACTGATATTTAATAGCTAATACTGTTTTAAACAAGGCTACTAATAATATTAATATCCCAGAACTCATATTTTGTTTTAATCAGATATAATTGCCCAATAGTTGTTTTATTGATATATATACTTCCAAAATCAAATTGCCTTTTTAACTGGCTCCTCTTTTTCCAGATAAATCCAAAATGCAGAGTGTTATTTATATTAGTTTATATTAGTGATGTTTCAATCTAGAAGATGCAACCAAAGTGCAACCCTATTAACTTGTAATTCTTTCTTTTTCATAGATTTTAATGACATAAACTTTCTGTTTATCAATAATTGTAACAAAGATGTGGAGGAGGTAAATTTTTGAACTCCTACATTGAAATTCAATCTTTGATCCATTTCGAGTTTATATTTGTATATGGTGTTAGAGAGTGTTCTAATTTCATTTTTTTACATGTAGCTGTCTGGTTTTCCCAGCATCATGTATTGAAGAGACTGTCTTTTCTCCATTGTATATTCCTGCCTCCTTTGTCATAGATTAGTTGACCATAGGTGGTGAGTTTATTTCTTGGCTTTCTATCCTGTTCCATTGATCTATATTTCTGTTTTTTGTGCCAGTACCATACTGTTTTGATTACTGTAGCCTTGTAGTATAGTAGTGAAGTCAGGGAAACTGATTCCTTCAGCTTCGTTTTTCTTTCTCAGGATTGCTTTGGCTATTCATGGTCTTTTGTGTTTCCATACAAATTTCAGAATATTTTTGTTCTAGTTCTGTGAAAATGTTATTGGTAATTTGATAGCAATAATATTCATAGGAGCAAACACTCTATAATAAGCCCTGTCTAAGGAGGGAACAGCAAAATGGAAATATGTAATCTGTCTTGATTCTTATTTTTGTTATTTTTTCTTTTTAACTCAAGTAGTTATATTGTTAACATGGTTTGATTATCAAGAGTGATAAGAGGCAGGCTAAATGTGTGTTATTCCTTTTACTGACAATATGAGATTATCTGAAAGCTGTTCTAATAATGAGTTAATTATTATTCATGACAGTGGTAACAGAGATGGAGTTTAATTCTAGAGATGGCTAAGTCTCAATGTATGCTGATTCTCTTAAGCAGATTAGTTTCACTTAATATTAATCTATGTGCCATTTCTCAAACCCATATCCTAGTTTTCTATTTTGGCATCATTTCTAATATCTACAACATTTACACTGTAAATATTATTAAATGTAATTAAAATTTTAGCTTTAGCCTGAAATCATTATCATCCTTTATGTAAATATTCAGCACCACCTATTGTCTCTCATCTCTGAATCTGCTATTTTATATTCTGATTTGTGGTGCAGAAACTAAAATCTTACAAAACACATTTCTGCTTTACCAGCTACCACCCAACCAGGCATTGCCAACAGGGGGCACCTGAAGGAGGCTGCAAGTTTGGAGGAGGAAGAAGGGGCTTCTGACTTTTTGTATGTTTACTGTTACTTTATTTTATATTATATTTTGGTTGCTTACTGTTACTTCTGCTCTAGTTTTTTACTGCTGCATAACAAACAACCCCCAAAATGTAGTGTAGTGTAGGCATAGAATTCCCATTTTTTTTAATATAATAGACTAGTAAGTCAGGGACTCAGTATGGGCTTGACTTGGGGTACCCTGTGCAATTGCAGTCAGCTATTGGCTAAAGCTTCAATCAAGCAATCATCATTTGGTATCATCTGTCCTTCATCCATGATGACTCATTTCTATTCCTAGCAAATGATGCTGAGTGTCAGCTGGAAGCTCAGCTGGGCTACTTACTACAATACATACAAGTGGTCTCTACACCATGACAGTGTCAGGGTAGACAGACTTTTTACATGGCAGATGACTGCCCCAAAAGTGTTCCATGAGAAACAGCGGAAGTAAGATTCTCAGACTTAGCCTTAAAAATTACACAGCATCACTTCTGATGCATTTTCTTGGTTACTAGTACAATAATGATTCAAAGAAAGGGGACATAGATCTCACCTCTCTATTGGAAGAGCATCCAAGAAGTCTCAGACTCAGGGCCATGGAGCCCCTTCTCAAAGCACAGACATAACACCTCACAGATCTGAGCTTCAGTTCTTTAAGGTCCCCCTTCCAAGCTTCAAAATTTTAAGAATCCCAAACTCTTCCCTTTGTCCCCCCTTTCCTAAGGAACACCTTAGTCTTTTTTATTTACTTTTATAGTTACTTAACTAAAACATTAATATCAAATTAAGCACTGTTAATAATAAATTTTCTAAGTTAAAATAGCTGCTGTGGTTTTTGCCTGCACTTTGAACACAATAATACACATAGAAAATAAATATTTTGAGACAAATGGAAACTAATAATCGGAAATTAATTCTAATAATTAAATCTAATAATAATTCTAATAATTGGAAAAAAATCTAATGAAATATCTCAAACTGTTTCTGAAGAGTTTAATCATATCTGGATATATTGATATTTTAAGGGAAAATTATTTTATATGAATTATAGCATTTTATCAAGGACTAACTACTCACTTGTTTTTGCTGTATCCAAGTTCCCTTATGATATCTTGGTTCTAAAAGGGATTGTATATTCAAGTTTAATGTAAAATACTAGTAGATAAAATACAGAAGTTTTCAGGAAGTTGAATAGAATACATTTACTTAAATAATTAATTTCAGGATTTTTTGATAAGAATTTATCCAGATGAATACATCCACTCTGATCACATAAAAATTTTATTATATTGTTGGATGAAGAATGTTTGCTGTATATATGACACATATATGTGTATGGTGATCATTATTTCAATAAAATATGCACATTATTGCATACATAAGCTTATTATTCTCTTTATAGAATTTGCCATTAAATACTGTATTGATTGATTTCCCTCAAAATTTTGAAGCACATAATTTTTATGGTTCACTTGTTTGCTGAAATTAAGTTTTTCCATTCCTTAAAACATATCAAGCCACAGTATCTCCAAAATTCATCACTATCAGTAAAATTCTTTCTGACTTTGGCACTTTCATGTTTTTAAATCCTTTTTTCCTACAGAGTTAAAAATTCTTGGTAAGCATTTGTCCTTGATCTTTAGTCTTAACCTCATCATTGAAAATTTTCAATTCTGTCATTAGTAGCATGGAAATATTGTTTTCCTTATCTAAAACTAAAAAACTGTATGGTAGATTTCTTTGCTTTTCTCTATACCAGGGAGATAATAGATTAAAATATGATGAGATACAAAAAATATGAGACAGAAAAAGAAAAATAGTAACATAGTTACCAACTAAGAGCAAGCTGTAAGAAAGAGCCAAAATACTTAGGTTAGAATGGTTTTAGTGGTTTTTCCCCTTACGAACTCTGTAATACTGAGTTACTTAATTAACCTCTTTGTCCTTTGGTTTCCTCAACTGCAAAATGGTCACTAACTCATATAGTAATTAAGAAGAGTGTGGTAATATATTTAAAGCACTTAGAAATATTTGGTGCACAGTAAGGGCTATGAAAGTGTTAGCTATTATTATGTCAACTACAAAGAAAGATTTACTTCAGAGGTGTAGCATACCTTACTTAAAATGTTTATGATGTAATTGCTAAAGTTACTTAAGACCGTAATATATTTTCACAAAAGAAATTTGAAGTGGGTTTTAAGAACAAGGGAAAAGGTGCCTTAAAGAATCTTCATTTTGAAACATTTCTAAGAGCTAAGCA